CGATCATTGAATCCATCCTCACCTCCTCCATAACCGTCTGGTACGCTGCTGCCACTGCCAAGGACAAGAGCAGACTGCAGCGTATCATCCACACTGCTGAGAAGGTAATTGCCTGCAATCTACCAACCCTCGAGGACCTGCACACGACAAGGTCCATGAGGCGAGCGAGGAAGATTATGGCCGATTTCTCCCACCCTGGACACTCTCTGTTTCAGCTACTCCCCTCCGGCAGAAGGCTTCGGTCCATCAGGACCAAAACCTCATGCCATAAAAACAGTTTCTTCCCATCTGCTGCTGGCCTGTTAAACAAGGCCAAGGGCTAACACTGTTTTTAACATTTGATCTACATAACGACACCTTGCCGATATTAACTATGTTACCCTATTTGTATTTTTTTATTTTTAAATTATATCTTAAAGCTATTTTATATTCGATATTTATTTAATTTTATATACTTCAGCCCCTTGGTGTTAGACTTTTAACCCTTATTATAGTAAGACTTGTTTAAAACTTATTTAAGATTTTAGATTCCTATATGTTGAATGTATGCACCATCCTGCCAAAGTAAATTCCGTGTCGGTGTGAACTTACATGGCGAATAAAACCCTTTCTGATTCTGATGATCGTGGGTCCTTATATCGAAAGATTTATCGTAGAATTGGCATATCGCGACCCGAGGCTTGCAGAGCACGTGCTGGCTTATTCGACGTCATTGCCGGCAGGTGGAGCCATTCGCCGCAATGTCACAGAGGTCAAGGTTCATCGTCTACCCAGGAATGCCCGAACGAACTGCAGGGTATGTTACAAAGTGTTGAATCTCATCTGACTAATTTGCAGGTCATGTTTCGGCATTGCGATGTTTTTGGACGATACAAGTGACGTTGGGGGTTTTTTTTCGCCCATAGGAAGATGCCGGAGAGCCTGGAGGAAACGCGTGCAGATATAAAAACAAATTTACACAGAGAAAGGTGCACCCCAGGCGGGAATCGAACCCAGCCCCTTCACGCTGTTGCCAATACGCTCCCCTGTCGCCCATATTTGATATCGACACACCGAGCACACGACATTAACTTTACTGCCGAATGACAAGCTGGCAGCAATACGCAGACGCTCACCGCCAGGAGTCGCAGTTTGTGAGAAATTATTCCCTCTTGGACAATGGGAAGTTACTCGACTTACACGAACAAAAGACGGCATTTTTTATACGAATTCTATAACTTTGTTCTTCTGCTTCAGGGAAACCCGTGTAGAGGACATCTTTGACATCTCCGACCCACAACAATGCTACATCAAATTCATCGTATAACCAAATCAAGGTAATAATAATAATGACGCCAATGAACAACACAGGACATCTTCACGATGGGTATTTGTTGAGATGTTTAGCCCTCTGCATTTTTGAGTGTTTGGAATGTCGGAGGACACTAAAGATAAAGGTGCCGCTCTGCAATTTCTTGCTCACACGACAACTGACGGAGGGGCCTCATCTGGAGGGAGCTCTCGACAGCCTCTCTGGAGGGTATTTGGTCTACTCATCCATGCTGACCAGACAACTTGGAGCTGGTGGGGGCACCCACACTTTACCGTACCACACACAACCTGCCGATCGACTTCAGTGTGAACCATTTCTCCTGTTGGGTGGACAGGGATTTAAGAAACTTGCCCCAATGTTTCAACATTAAATTCAGTTACATACACTCACACTCGTGTATACATAGTGAAGAAGGGAAAACAGATTGCTATTTCATATTCTTAGTTTTTTCGGTAAAGTCACGTTGAAGAGAAACAACAAAATAACAAAATATATATAAAACAATAAAAAATTCTCACGACGTTTCGACCATAACTCAAACGGTCATCATCAGGTGTGTCGGTTTGCATAAATTTATTTTGAAAACGGCATATTTATTTATATATATAAAAAATAACGTTTGCGTCACGCGCAACGATGGCAGTTTGCCAGGACTAGTCCATCTATTTTTTGAAAAGAGGAGGGGGGAGACGAAATTTGTTTTTATGTATGCTGTCTGAAAGGCACTGTAAGCGTGAACAATCAATCAAGAACTGAAATGATTTATCAAATCTTTCCAATGATTGCTAAGATAGAATCCATCTTCTCGGTTGAAATTGTCTCTGTGTTTGTATATGTGGATAGCCTCATGAACGAATCTCTCATGGAAGCCAGATGGCTTACAAAGAACCTCCGTCTTGGAAAAGTCAATGGCATGTGAGCCTACTGAATTAGAACAATGATCTGCTACGGCCGAGGTGTTGGTCCTACCGTGTTTAAGGTCTGCTTTATGTTCACGAATGCGGTCCGAGATATGGCGTTTGGTTTCTCCAATGTAACTACTACCACAGAGGCAACTTAGTTTGTAGACACCAGGGTATTGTATGTCCGGAATCACATCTTTTACAGACGGAACCAGATCACGGATTTTATGTAATGTGTTGAAACGGACCTGGATCTTGTGTTTATTCAAGATTTTGGAGATCTTTTTTGTGATCCCAGCAATGTAGGGTAAAGTGATGGTTTTGAAAGGCTCCTCAAGAGGGTTCTTCTTCATGGTTTGAGTGATAGCTTTGCGGATTGTATAGTCGGAGTAACCATTAGCCCTAAGAGCTTGGTGTACGTGCTTGAGTTCACTGCTTATGTGTTCCTGGTCGGATATGCATTGGGCTCTATGATACAGAGTCTTGATGAGAGAATTCTTCTGTGATGGATGGTGGTGGGAATCCGGTTTCAGATAAGCATCCGTATGGGTAGCTTTCCTGTAGACAGAGTGGCTCATTGAACCATCAGGTCTCTTTTTAATTAGGACATCCAAAAAAGGTATCTTGCCATCTATTTCGACTTCCATGGTAAATCTGATGGCTGGGTGTATGGAATTGATGTGGTCGAAGAATTTGTCTAGAGCAGGCCGGCCATGTGGCCAGATGACAAAAGTGTCATCCACGTACCTCTTCCATAAGGTTGGGCGCAGAGTGGCAGTCTGGATGGCGTCAGTCTCAAATTTCTCCATGAAAATGTTAGCTATAACTGGAGAAAGGGGGGAGCCCATTGGGGTGCCCTCAGTTTGTTTGTAGAAAGTTCCATTCCAAGTGAAGTATGTATTGGTTAAACAGTGTCTCACCAGGGGGGGTACCTCAGTGTTTAGTCCTTGATGAACCAAGTCTTCAATGATTGCAATGGTGTCAGGTACAGGAACCTTGGTGAATAAGGAAACTACATCAAAACTGACAAGCAGGTCGTCTGGGGACAGGGAAATACCCTTGATTGTTGATACCAGGTGAGTAGAATTTTGTACCGCAGAGGTGGTCTTTCCAGTGAAAGGACGCAGGATTTCAGACAAAAAACGAGCTAGTTTGTAGGTGGGGGAGCTGATAGTAGAGACTATGGGACGAAGAGGTGTATCAACTTTATGTATTTTTGGTAAGCCGTATAATCTTGGTGGCCTGGCAGCAGAAGGTTTCAACGAAAACTGTTTAGATTGATCAATTAATGCGGTTGAATCAGAAATTATTTTGTTGGTTTGTGTGACGAGGCTGTTGGTGGGATCTCTTTTTATTTTTGTATAACTACCATCGTCGAGTAATTCTTTAATTTTGTTGTTGTATTCTATTTTATCCATGATAACAGTAGCATTGCCTTTGTCAGCTGAGAGAACTACAATATCATTCCTCTTTTTTAATTTATATAATTCAAAACGCTCATCTTTGCTGAGGTTGCTAGCTGGCATCTTAACCATCACTTTACCCTACATTGCTGGGATCACAAAAAAGATCTCCAAAATCTTGAATAAACACAAGATCCAGGTCCGTTTCAACACATTACATAAAATCCGTGATCTGGTTCCGTCTGTAAAAGATGTGATTCCGGACATACAATACCCTGGTGTCTACAAACTAAGTTGCCTCTGTGGTAGTAGTTACATTGGAGAAACCAAACGCCATATCTCGGACCGCATTCGTGAACATAAAGCAGACCTTAAACACGGTAGGACCAACACCTCGGCCGTAGCAGATCATTGTTCTAATTCAGTAGGCTCACATGCCATTGACTTTTCCAAGACGGAGGTTCTTTGTAAGCCATCTGGCTTCCATGAGAGATTCGTTCATGAGGCTATCCACATATACAAACACAGAGACAATTTCAACCGAGAAGATGGATTCTATCTTAGCAATCATTGGAAAGATTTGATAAATCATTTCAGTTCTTGATTGATTGTTCACGCTTACAGTGCCTTTCAGACAGCATACATAAAAACAAATTTCGTCTCCCCCCTCCTCTTTTCAAAAAATAGATGGACTAGTCCTGGCAAACTGCCATCGTTGCGCGTGACGCAAACGTTATTTTTTATATATATAAATAAATATGCCGTTTTCAAAATAAATTTATGCAAACCGACACACCTGATGATGACCGTTTGAGTTATGGTCGAAACGTCGTGAGAATTTTTTATTGTTTTATATATATTTTGTTATTTTGTTGTTTCTCTTCAACGTGACTTTACCGAAAAAAACTAAGAATATGAATTACTGCAGTCACGAAAGCTTTAAATCAAAATTTAGATTGCTATTTATTCTAAGATTCACATTGACAAGGAGGTCCAATATTTACATTGCAGAAGTTAATTCATTGCCTACACACGAGGTTTGTGAAACATTTACGGTAGTTTTAGTGAAAAAATCGTTCAGTGCCACTACCATTTTCGAAAATACGTTCAGAATAAAGATTTACAACACCGGGCGTACGTTTCCCCGATTTAGCATTGCCATTTGGCAAGAAATTAATTTTTTTTTACAAGGAGCAATGTTTCATATTTACATATGAATCACGTACAGACACAAAGGCAACAAAGATCCTCCACGTAGCCTTAACAGACTCTTGGGGCAAGTGCTGTGAGCGAGCTCCTGTGAAGGTTGGCATAGCACACGAGGGGATGGGTGGCCAGCACCATGTCTGACTGCCTTTGTCTCCCCAGTGGTCATGTTTACACACTGCACCAAGTACTCATTTGAGGATGAGTCGACCCAGCACCGGTTTAGAAAATCGTCAGTGGTGTTGGCCGTGAGCAGGAATCAAACTCAGGTGGCCGGGTTCGTAGTGCAGCGTGCTAACCCATGCGCCACTGCTCCTGTGTAAACGCACACGCTGGCACGCACATGTACACAACCTCGGAAAACCCGTGCACGTTGCAACACATCCATTACACAAGACCTAAAGTCATGGCTGAACAATACTTCTGACATCACGACAATAAATTAAGCGGAACCGAGAGTGGGAGTGCTATTGTATCTCATCCCATTATAAAGAAACCCATAAGAGCCAAGACACAAACCTACAGGGTTATGCATATAGAATAAGTAAAAGCTCTTAAGTTAATTTACATAATGAAGATTGCTTAAAATGTGGATGTTTTGGGATTTAACTTCTGAAAACACCCATACACCCACTTCACTCGTAAAGAGTGATAGTGTTTTGTATTCGGCAATTGAAGAGCATAAGCGCTCGCATTGTAAACGTTGGTAAGGTAAAGGCACAGCCCCGCAATGTCTCGCTCACGCCACTGCTGGCAGAAGGGGCCTCCACTCGAGTGAGCTCTAGAGAGCCTCTCTACAGGGGATTTGGCCGACTTCACCATGCTGGCCACAAGTTTGGAACATGCGGGACTTCCCACTCTTTATCCCACCACACGCGACCTGCCGTTCGCCCAGCTGCGGAGTACTCACATTTATAACCGCTAGGTGGATAGAGGTTGGGCTGATGACATCTGGACTTGACGTTAACACAGACTTCAGTGGCACTTTGTGCTTGCAAATCTTATTTTTACACAAAACATCACCTTGAACACACAACACACACCGTGCGGATCTTGATTGCCGTTCGCAAATAATCTCTTGCAGGCAACATTTTCAAGCTGGTTGCATTTTCAAAAACGAAAACTTGTAAAGCGAAAAGAAGTGACCACCAATGACCATGTCCAGGGAGTTTTGCATCCCTCTGAGTATGAGCTCTGTTCAATCACTCGGTGAATGTCCACGAGTGGTTATGAGGTCCGTCGTTCTTTTTTTAATGTTCGCCAAAATGAGACTTTCCGTTCTTGAACAATAACGTGCATGCTCCAATAGTGTTAAACCGTTCGTCTCAAATCGCACATGGACAAGTGTCTGGTGTCATCTTCATAACCTCACCACCACGACCCACTGGTGACGCAGCGTGCTTGGCATTGGCCCCGGTGCGGGGGATGGTAAGGGGTCCTCTGCCACCACCCCCCCCCCCCCCCCCCTCTTAGTCGCCCGGCGCTTGCGGGCATCGGTGCAGTTGCACCATCTGCGCCCTCAAAAGAGAGACGTACTCATGCTGTCACCCACTTGGCGACCTCTGACCCCTCCTGCGTTTTCAGTTCTTGTTCTCCAACACCACGAGCTAGAGCTTCAACTCGGTGGGGTTTGGGCCGTTGATGCTGAGGGTCTCCCCGTCGCGCCTCGCTCGTCCCGCCATCGTCGTCGTCGCGGTGGCGATGCCGTTGGCCTGCACGGAGCCGTGCGGTGTCACGGCGGCCTCCTCCGCCGGCTCCACCCCCGCCAGGCCGCCCGTCTGGTCCAGCGACGTCCTGCGGATGTCGGCGCGGACTCGCGTGGCGCTCACGCGAGTCCGACGGCCGGACGGCGGGCTCTTCCCCCCTCCCTTGGGGAAGAGTTCCTGCGCCTTGGCCACGAACGCGTCGGCCATGTCCAGCTCGACGAGACGGTCCTAGGGAAGAAGCAGCAGCGGCTTAGTTTAGTTTTATTTGTATATTCATTTACCTCTCTTATACTTGTTGTAACGTTCTATCCCGCCCGTACCGGACATCTGTGAAAAAGAGCTTTATAGCTCATCGGATTCCACCGGTATAAATAAATATTCCGATTGTGAATACATGAGATTCGGTCACGTATAAACAAACGCTATATTTTATTGTCTTCATGTCGGTCGAAGATGTACGCCCAAGTTGAAGGTGAAGGCCCTTTGCATGCGTAATGCGCGAGCGGAACAGGCGGGGCACTCACAAGCACGTAGACGTATCTTTGCGGCGTCTCGTGCAGCATGTCGAAGAGGTAGCTGCTGCGCTCCAGGGTCAGCAGCAGCGCGCGCGCCCGCCGAAGGTTACGGAAATCCTCGGGACTCAACGCCGCATTCACCCGCAGCAGCTCGTCCTCCTGGCCCGATCGGAATCCTGAGACGATCGCGGCATGCAACAGAGGCGACGTTCAGACAGGGAAATCACACACCGTGACTCTCGCATTCGACCCCTGGCCCATGAAGTCATGCATATTGCTTTCCAGAGCAGCTTCCACTTAAAATCGTGAAAATGTAAGGATGAGCAAACGGCTGAAGGCATAAAGCACTTATTGAACCAGTGCATTGACATCAGAGCAGATGACTGGGCTGAAGCGATCGTGAATATCAGATCTCGAAATGTAGCCGCACTTTGACGCTTCGAAAATTAAAAATGTTTCTGCGTTGACAATTTCACTGCGAGTGTTGCCCCTTAGTTCAGCAATTTTGCCCATGTACCTTTCTGTGGCACCCCTGATATTATACGTGCACGATAAAACTTGGCGTCGATTCCTTGCCCAGTGATGTGCGTGGTGTGCGGAGGGTGCACGAGTTTCAGTTGAGGAGGTTCGTACCGAGCTGCCCCAGAACGAGCTTCCAGCGGTCGTTAATCTCTCGTCGTAGTTGCATCATGGCGCTGAGTCGCCTGTTCAGGTCCGTCCATTCCTGTGAAGGGAAACCAATTGTAACTCTGTATTGCCCATGGGCATTTGTCCCATAACTATTAGAATACAGGCGTGTTTGCCGACACTGTCCCGTGCGAGCTGCGCGCGTGTGATAATTACAGTGACAATGATAATAATGACGCTCATTTGTTTTTGATACAGCATCTTATACGCTGGGGCGACTCACGGTGCTTTACATCACATCGCATCTCAAACATTTAAGAGGGCACCAAAGTGTTACTATCCCCGTGGACACAAGGTGCCTCAGCACGTGGTCTGCGAACGTAGTAGGCTTTTGCGACCAATATCATCCATAATATAGGTTTTTTGGGTAAATATATAAATGTGTCATTAAACCTGCCACCACCCGACACAGCCAATTAGTAAGGGTTGTCACGTAAACAGAACATGCCAATACATTACTAGTACAGCACACCGGTGTGTAGGAGGGAAAAGCCACAACATTTACAATCCGAGTATGACGTTTCGGCAGCAATTACAACTAGCTTCATCAGGCAAGAGCCAGATTTGTGGAGAAATCCTCCTGTTTCGTTCCTTACACTTGTGAGCAATTTATTGCGTGAAGTGAGAGAGGGGAGTAATGAATGCATATAAATAACCCACTGCCGGTTGGGTTATTGTATAGTAATCAATGTACATTATGCAACGTGCATTATGCAAGCCTATTGTTCTTGTACCTTCTTTCAATTGTGTGCACTAAAATAGCCGTACCTGTAATTCTTAAATAGTAATCCCTATTGAAGTACGGTGACCTGTATAGGTATGTATTTAAACAATGTATTACTTGATGATTTGCTTCCAAGCAGCACTAAGTCTGTAGCGATCCGAACGGTTAAAATTATTTTTATTTCTCGAATTAGTCTTGACCAGGAGTAACTAGTTTTGCACCGAACTTCAACATAATAAAAATCAATTAAGTGTCCTCAATTGCTTTTGATAATGTTGGCACGCGTGTCCTGCCACTGCTGATATTTGTATTTGGGAGTATTTCATATTTCTTTGGTGTTCTTTTACTCTCGTGCTGATCATTCATCCTGTTTGCCCAACATAGCATTTGCCACACGTCCAATTAATCCGGTACACACATTCTGTTGATAGCTTCGGTAATACATTTTTGTACCAGATATGTGTTTTATGTACCGTGCCAAATCTGACTCGGATGTTTTGTTTTTCAAAATATCTAGCTAGTTTATCAATTATTCCCACAATGTATGATATTTTAAAAGTTTTAATTACTTGGTCAGTTTCAACGGTCGTATTATTTGATATATTCTGATATATTCTCAGCAGCTCTCCCGCTATATTTTTCCCCTGGTGACGATTGCTTGTGTTGCAATTGAAACGTCGTGATGTTGTTAGTATTTTTATTATTTTATTATTTGTTCTATCTACATGCCTTTAACGAAAGCCCCAAAGAATATGTTAATGTAAGTGGTGGGCAGCAGCCGCGACGGTGGATCGGTTTCCACAAATTAAAGGTCTGCCAGGTAAAAATGTGCCTCCATGGCAAGCGCGCTGAGGTGGCTATGTTAATGAGAGAGATTAGCATGTTAATGTGAGATCGCAGAGCCAGAAACCCATCCACCCATTTCAAACCTTTATAAACAGTTTGCCTTTAGACGCTAACCCCCTTTTCCTGATGACGACCGCTTGTGTTGCGATCAAAACGTCGTAGTTTTTTGTTATTTTCTTTGAACCTATCTACGTGATTTTACCGAAAGACCCAAAGAATATTAATTCCTGCAGTCACGAAAGCTTTAAGTCAAGATTTGGACTTTAACCTTGCATTGCAGCGCCGAGTTGCCCATTCAATTCCATCCTGCAGAGAGATGCACGGCCGTGTCCCTGCACCGTGTGTGTGACCGTGTGTGTATGTTACGCATGGCCGTGTCCCTGCACCATGTGTGTGACCGTGTCTATGTTACGCACGGCTGTGTCCCTGCGCGCGTGTCTCAGTTGCTCGGCAAGCTGAGCGACGAGCTGGTCGGAGGGCGAGTGCTTGTGCGTCGCGTCGTGAGGCTCGCTCCACAGAAAGGCCTCGTCGTCAAGGCGACGCCGCTTCATCTGCTCCTGGTAGCACAGCACCGAGTCCCCCTGGGCATGACTGCCAGTGTGCACACGCACGCACGCACACGCACGCACGCACGCGACCAACCGATCAATCAAAACTGTCAATCAATCACAGATCAATCAATGAATCAGCCTCTCGATGGATCAATCAATGAAAGCCATGAAAATTGTCTGTAGATTTCTTGCCGGAGAGTATGTGGCTGAAAGACATTCAGTGAAGGGTATCTGTGTGTGTGTCTATTTACACGTGTAATAAAGCACTTCCACGACGACTTGTGACTTCCGTCTTTTTCTTTATGAATAATCACTGCTCGGCTCCGCACCCCCTTTTCCAGATGGTCACTCTCTCTCTCTAAGGCGCGCGCTCCCTCGTCCACTCTTGCCACGCGGCTCCCCTCGCTCTCTCTCGCTCGCCGCTGACTGGCGCCGCGCAGGGAGTAGAGAGGGCTTCGGGCCCAGAGGTTGCCACGTGGCCGGTGGCGTGGCGAGGTGGCGGAGATGCAGTCCGGGCTCCAGGTTCCCACACCGACCCCGAGTCCTCCCCCTGCCTCTCCTTATATCACTCTCGGCGGAGCTAAGCCCCGCCTCTATCCACGCCCCCTCCTGGAACCTTCCGGACGCTTCCCCGAACGTACCCCCAGAGCTCCGCCTATTACCATTGGCCCAGATGTAACCTTTAGCTCTGATTGGCTACAAATAACCATGCAGTGCCTATACAGCCCATCGTCGTTCCTCGGTGGCGCTCTTACATTACACATATTGCAGTTACCAGACAGATCTCAGCAATCGATTTGTTTTGTGCACAGTATTAGAACCGAAGTCTTAAAGGTCATCAAAAAGTGACTCCTCATTGTTGCCCATATACTGTACATACTGTACAAAGGTCAATGTGAAGGGGTCATCATGGTGATTGCCACTCAATGAATTTCCCATGAATTTCCCATGAATAATTTTGATAAATAATTTGAGCTGATCAAATTGGAATTACCCAGTGACTATTCGAATGAGATAACTTTCAAATTTCCCAAACAGAAATTGTTTCCGTTTAATGGCCACTGCTGTGCTCTGATTTGTGCGTCGTTTTTAGAGTCAGGTTCTGATTAAAGATGTATTTTATTGTATGGAATCCATCACGCGTAGCTTATGTCGATCGCTGTGTCCTAAACACATTCTTTTGACAAAATAAACAGAAAGTATACATTTTATCCTGCTGTGAATAGGACTAGTTTTTCGAAATGACGAAATATATATTTGCACATCATATTGATGTTTTGCAAATGCATTTTATTCTATTACTAGCTTTACTACCCGGCTTCGCCCGAGACTTGGATTCACCACGTCCGGCCGCCTTTGTCCCCCCCGTGGCGATGTTCACACACCACACCAGTGACTCGTTTGAGGATGAGTCGACCTAGGGGAGGCCCAGGACCGGTTCAAATAATCGTCACCGGTGGTGACCGTGAGCGGGAATCGAACTCGGGTCGCCGGGTTCGCAGCGGAGCGCGCTAACCACTACACTACCGCTCCCCCCACACACAAACACGCGCGCGTCCATAGGTACACATACACGTGCTTGCTGAAGACACACACAACTTTCAGGGTGCGTACGGCAGTAAACGACTGAAATAATAAAGCAATGCTGCGCGAAGAATGCCTTAGACCTGCAACACATTTGTGTTTCACTTTACCCGCGATGAGCAGGCACACTCCGTTACGCTTCCGCACACAGGTCACATGACAGATGTGATGTCACAGCTCATGTGCCATGCAAAATATATGCATTATTGCGCCCCCCCCCCAAAATTTTTTATATACAAAAGTCTATTTTGATCATTTTTTCATGGTGTACAGTCTGGAAAGTACCCCACATGGCAAATTTCAAGTTTGTTGCATGTCGGGAAGTACGCTAAACATTTTGAACAGACACACATATTCACAAATTTCCCTTTTACATATATAGATATTTCACTATTTTACTTACCTGGTAAAGCCCACTGAGCTACATATAGCTCTTTTTCAGAAGTGACCTGGCCACAAATGATAGCTCCATGAAGTGGCTTATCATCATGTGGAATTTTATAAATGTGGAGGGAACAACCGGAGGACCCAGATAAAAATCCACACTACCAAAGGGGGAACATGCAAACTTTGAATATACAGACGTCATGGTTGGGACCGAACCCATGCCCCCTTGCATACCAGGTGAGGGAGATTCGATCTCGCCAATAAACACCTATTTGAAACGCAGTGACTGATATAAACACATCTATCCAACACTTATTTCTGCCAGATCCTGTAGTTGTCACAGAGTTGAAACCCCAACTCAGTGACATGTTCTTACCGTAATTCACCTGTGGTCACCGACCTTTAAACTGCAGATGCTTCCGCTCACTCTTTTAGTAACCTGCCCTCCTCCTCTACCACCCTCAGCACCTCCTCCACACCCAAACATCCCGCAACCTTCACTTCGCACATACATCTACAGTACTCTCTCCCAACGTGCTTAAGAAACATGCGTTTAGAGCAGTGGTTCTTAACCTGGGTTCGATCGAACCCCAGGGGTTCGGTGAGTCGATCTCAGGGGTTCGGCAGAGCCCCCGCCACGGAGGCCCGGACACACTTGAATTATTGTGTAAATTTGTGATGACACACACGGCCCGCTTGGCCATCACTGGCTGCAGATGATCATGCTACACTGCTTGGCCAATCAGCGCTGCGGGGAATTTAGTGCGTACTCAGTAGTCAACGTGTGACTGTTGTTGTCGTACGTCGTGTGATTTCTTTAATATTTTATCCATACTAACTATGTCGGGCAAAAGAAGAAAGTGGTCGGACGAATATGTACAACATGGATTCTCATGTATCACGGAACGTGATGGGAGTGAGCGTCCTATCTGCATGATTTGCAACGCCAAGTTGAGCAACTCTAGTCTTGCACCGGCAAAACTAAAGGAACACTTCTTGAAGCTGCATGGAGACGGGGAATACAAGAACACAACACTTGCTGAATTCAGGGTGAAGAGAGCCAGATTCGATGAAAGGGCCACTCTGCCTGCTCTTGTACCTGTTAACAAACCGATCCTGACAGCATCGTACGAAGTTGCTTACCTGATCGCAAAGCAGGGCAAGCCACACACCATTGGTGAAACACTTGTGAAACCAGCTGCATTAAAGATGGCGAATCTGATACTCGGAACAGCGGCCGAAGGTAAATTATCCCAAATTCCCCTTTCAAATGACACCGTCAGTGACAGAATAGAAGACATGAGTAAAGACATCTTGGCTCAAGTAGTCGCGGATCTGATTTCAAGCCCGGCAAAATTCAGCCTTCAACTCGACGAAACCACAGACGTTTCTGATCTAAGCCAGCTTGCTGTTTTTGTACGCTATGTGAAAGACGACATGATAAAAGAAGAGTTTTTATTTTGTAAGCCTCTTACAACAACAACGAAGGCAGCCGATGTGAAGAAGCTTGTGGATGACTTCTTCAGACCCAACAATCTGTCATGGGATATGGTTTCTGCAGTTTGTACGGACGGAGCTCCAGTCATGCTGGGAAGAAAGTCTGGTTTTGGTGCGCTAGTAAAGGCCGATGCACCACACATCATTGTGACGCATTGTATTCTGCACAGGCATGCGTTGGCAACAAAAACCTTACCTCCAAAAATGGCAGAAGTATTAAAAACTGTGGTGGAATGTGTGAACTATGTGCGAAAAAGTGCTCTGAGGCACCGCATCTTCAGTGAGCTGTGTAAAGAAATGGGCTCTGAATTTGAGGTACTTCTGCTCCATTCTAATATTCGGTGGTTATCCCGGGGACAGGTGCTGAATCGTGTTTTTGCCATGCGTGTGGAATTAGCCCTGTTTTTGCAAGAGCACCAACACTGCCATGCAGATTGCTTCAAAAATCCTGAGTTCATTCTCATTTTAGCGTACATGGCTGATATATTCGCAGCTCTCAATCATCTCAATCAGCAGATGCAGGGTGGTGGAGTCAATATCATGGAAGCAGAAGAACACCTGAAGGCTTTTCAAAAAAAGCTACCGTTATGGAAACGACGAACAGAGAACAATAACTTCGCAAACTTCCCGCTTCTGGACGACTGTGCAAGTAAGATCGAAGATGTGTCTGGAATCGGAGATATTTCTGTATCCACGGAACTGAAGCAAACAATTGCCACGCACTTAGATGAGCTTGCAAAGTCTCTCGACGGATATTTCCCTACAAGAGAGTCATATCCAGCATGGGTGAGACAGCCGTTCACGTTTGCTGTTGAAACAGCAGATGTCAATGATGAATTCCTCGACGAAATCATTGAAATTCAGCAGAGCCAGGTTCAACAGCAACTCTTCAGAACAACAACGCTCTCAACGTTTTGGTGTCGACAAATGAACAAGTATCCAGTTATTGCTAAGAAAGCCCTGGATTTTTTTATACCATTTGTTACAACATATCTTTGTGAGCAATCCTTTTCGAGGATGCTGGACATAAAAACGAAGAAAAGGAACAGACTTTGCTGTGAAAATGACATGAGAGTGGCACTTGCCAAGGTGAAGCCACGCATATCTGAACTGATCTCTCAAAGGCAACAGCAGAAGTCACATTGATTTCCAGGTATGTAATTTGTTGTGAGTTTATGCATTGTGTTGGTTTTATTCTTTGAACAAGGTAATGTTCATGCACGGCTCATTTTGTGTACCAGTAAAAACATATCTATGTCTTGAATTTGAAAAAAATCACATTTTATTTTTCACTAAAGAGGGGTTCGGTGAATGTGCATATGAAACTGGTGGGGTTCGGTACCTCCAACAAGGTTAAGAACCACTGGTTTAGAGTATTAGGCTACTATACATTTTCAATTAATAAGCCACTTTATTGAGATACCATATGTGGCCAGGTCACTTCTGAAAAAGAGCTATATAGCTCAGTGGGCCTTACCTGGTAAAATAAAAATGGTTTATAGTTTTATTAAGAACTTAAGTCGCTAACCCCATCATTCCACACAAATTATATCGTACTCGGTTGCCGTTTCT